TTTTCCTGAATTTTTGCCATTTGTTCGAAAACTTTGCCTCCGTTTCGATACTTCCCAACAAGAAATTAAAAAGAAATAGCCACTCATAATTTAACCGAGATGCGGACCTGCTTTTGCTTTCCTTATAAAGAGAAAAATTAACCCGATTTCACAAAAAAACCCGTATTCGAATCGGGATTTTCCTGAATTTTTGGGATTCGTTCGAAAACTTTCTCCGGTTTAAGACTTCTTAACAAGAAAATACAAAAAAATAGCCAATGAAAATTGTTGCGAGATACGGACCTGTTCGTGCTTTCCTAAAAATAAGAAAAATTCACCCTATTCCACAAAAAACTTGCATTCGAAACGCGATTTTCCGGAATTTTTGCCATTCGTTCGAAAACTTTCTGTCCGCTTTAAGACTTACTAACAAGAAAATTTAAAAATCAGCCACTCAAAATTGATGCGAAATACGGACCTGTTCTTGCTTTCCCAACAAAAGAGAAAAATTCAACCTATTCCACAAAAAACTTGCATTGGAAACGCGATTTTCCTGAATATTTGCCATTTGTTCGAAAACTTTGCTTCCGCTTCGATACTTCCTAACAAGAAATTAAAAAGAAATAGCCACTCATAATTTAACCGAGATACGGACCTGCTTTTGCTTTCCTTATAAAGAGAAAAATTAACCCGATTTCAGAAAAAAACCCGCATTCGAATCGGGATTTTCCTGAATTTTTGGGCTTCGTTCGAAAACTTTCTCCGCTTTAAGACTTCTTAACAAGAAAATACAAAAAAATAGCCAATGAAAATTGATGCGAGATACGGACCTGTTCGTGCTTTCCCAGCAAAAGAGAAAAATTCAACCTATTCCACAAAAAACTTGCATTCGAAACGCGATTTTCCTGAATTTTCGCCATTTGTCCGAAAACTTTGCCTCCGTTTCGATACTTCCCAACAAGAAATTAAAAAGAAATAGCCACTCATAATTTAACCGAGATACGGACCTGCTTTTACTTTCCTTATAAAGAGAAAAATTAACCCGATTTCACAAAAACTCGCATTCGAAACGCGATTTTCCTGAATTTTTGACGTTCGTTTGAAAACTTTTCTTCCGCTTGAATATCTACTCCTAACAAGAAAATTTAAAAAAATAGCCACCCAAAATTCAAGTGAGATACTGACTGTTAGTTTCCTCATAAAGAGAAAAATTAATCCGATTTCACAAAAAACCCGCATTCGAATCGGGATTTTCCTGAATTTTTGCCATTCGTTCGAAAACTTTGCCTCCGCTTCGATACTTCCTAACAAGAAAATTTCAAAAATTAGCCACTCAAAGTTTAACCGAGATACGGACCTGCTCTTGAGATAATAAAGAGAAAAATTAACCCGATTTCACAAAAAACCCGCATTCGAATCGGAATTTTCCTGAATTTTTGGGATTCGTTCGAAAACTTTCTGTCCGCTTTAAGACTTTCTGTCCGCTTTAAGACTTACTAACAAGAAAATTTAAAAATCAGCCACTCAAATTGATGCGATACGGACCAGCTCTTGCTTTCCTAAAAAAAGAGAAAATTCACCCTATTCCACAAAAAACTTGCATTCAAATCGCAATTTTCCTGATTTTTGGGATTGAAAAAGATAAAGTTCAGCTCTATTTCAGAAAAAAATTTCATTCCAATCGGTGTTTTCCTCAATTCAGGTGTTTGATTGAAAACAACGTTGTTTTAGCTTCGAGACTTAAGAACAAGAAATTTTGAAAAAA